TAATAATAAAAGCAACTCTCTTATTCCTTCTGTAACCAGAGGAGAAGTTGCATTTTTGACTCACTATAGCAGATGAGCTAAATTACATTCCAAGGCTGCCCAAGATTCTCAGCCAACAAGAGAGAAGGTGGCAAAGCTCTTCATGCCAGTACCTTCAGAAGGACACATCCTTACTTAGCTGGAGTTTATCTGTTATTTCCCTGGTTTAGGGTTCACATGGGGGATGGGGGCAGACTGACAACAATACTCAGTGCTACACAATTTCCAGCTTTTTTTCAGTCTACCATTTAATAACTAGAACATCTCATAGCTATTAGACTACTGACTGCAACAAATAACTGCAAAATACACTGGGGGAATGTACAAATAAATTCTGGCACACCAGTAGCTCCATAACAAGTTGTACAAGAGATTGGCAATTGGTATGCTAGGATGTCCATCACCACAGAAATAGAAGCGAGGAATGAAGCCAAAGCCTCTTGTGAAGGGGCTTCCCAGGCCCGAGGGCTCTTGTAGGTGTCTGGGAGAGGTACATCACTGAAGCACCTGCTCATAGAGCTGATGCTCTTCAGCTTTGTCCACATGTAGCCAATCCATTATGTATGTGCTGCAGCCGAGCTTTACAAAGACTGCAAGCCCTGGCAACAAGCACAACCCAACAAATGGAAGCAACAATCTGAGTAGATACTCCCCAGGAATTAGATTTTGTAAACAAACATTTCAGCTAATTGCATTCTTGTTCTCAGTGCACTGAAGGCCCCATTTAGCCAGAGTGTTTGTCTGCAGAGTTTAGTTTCTTCCATTTAATGAATGCTGATCCTGTCTTAGCCTCGGCTGGTATATCATCAGGATCAACATGAAATGCTAATGGAGAAAGATGCTTAATATCATTTCAAGTGTTTAAGTTACAACCACAGCTATTAAAGCAAATCCATTTTACCTGTTCCTCCTCAGGCTCCCCAGTGAGACAGATTTAAAAGTTTCCGTGGGGAGAAGTGATTCATAAATGGCTGCACAGATCAGAGAATAAAGCCTTTCACTGTTAATTACAGCCAGCGCTTTCCAAACTGAAGTCGGTCATTTCACCATCACAACACATAATTAGCAAAGCTCATTTTCTATCGTCGCCTTCACAAATCAGTTCACTTTCTAGAAAGCAAGGTGGATGCCTCGAGCAGCAGGCACAGACAGGCCAGCCAGCAAAACAAGGCTTTGTGCTTGCTCTGCCTGGAGCCCACAGCAGAAAATCCAATGGAGCCCCTAGTCCTTATTTTCAAACCACTAAGTTAAAGCTCTGAATGTGAAATAGCCATGACAGTGAGGAAGAGGAGGTGGAGGAAGGACCACCTTTGGCTAGGAGGCTTCTTTGCTTTCTGAGATTTGTACACACAGTGCAAGTACACTGGGTTCATCCAGCCCAAGAGCCACCTGGGACATCTTTGCATGGGGATTTCACAGAAATAGCAGGAAAGAAAGGTATGTTAGAGATGTTGCTCTTCTCTGGCTCAGAGAGAGGGCTCTCAGCCATGATCTGCATTTTAAACCAAGACTGTTTCTTTCTTCCCATGGCTCAGACTGCCCCTCACCTTTCTGAGGAACAACTCTGCCCCAAAGGCTTCCGGCAGATGCACTGCCAAGATCCCCATTCTTAACAAGGCACCCAAAATACCGGACGGGGCCCTGAGCATTTGCCAGACAGAGCACACTTTCCTTGCTGTGCTGGCAGCCATCATTTGAAAGGCTGAAGTTATCCTCACACAGATTTTAAAAGGCCACTGTTTATGCATGTAAATTCTGAAGGGCATTAGCGGCATAGCTGACACACACTGACAGCCAGCACAGCTCCGGGAAGGGAATAAGCAGCAGTGACTGCCTGAATAATTGATGTGCTTTTACTCTGCCCCATGGCCCAGTTATTACATTGCTCACTCTCTTCAACTGCCTGTGGTTTCTAAATTAATTAGAAATCTTAATGTCATGGCCAGCCATTTAAAAAAGAGAAAAAGGCACCGAGTACAAAAGAAAAGAGCGCTACGGATGCCCTTGAGCCTTGGGATCTCTTACTTTGGCCTGAGTATGCAGAGAATGAAAATAAACTCTCAATTTCTAAAAGTTCAGGCTGAGGCTAACAGCTTAGACAAGATGATGGCAGACCCTCACATGGTGCAAAATCCATCCTTGCCAGCAAAAAATCCCCAACTCCTATTCCACAAGGATGGATACCCACATAGATGTCATCTCTCCCAGACTATGGGGCAACATCTTTTCCAAAGTATAGCACACACAGAGAAGCTGGCATCTATTCAATATAATGAAAACAGCACAAGCATCTGACAAGTATCTGCCTGGCCACTGCAACACACTGCACCAGATGGAAGGACACTGCTGAACCACGTCTGGAAGAATCACGGAGCTCACAGCTGCCTGCTCATTCAGATGACAGAGCTAAATGGCTCTGTGGGATCCCTTTCGCAGGCTGAAAGAAACTGTGTGTGGCCACCTGACCGCAGAGAACACGAGCGGTTGATAAAAATAACACCTTGATCAAACATAACAATGTAAGCGGCCATTACTTTGCAACGTACATAGCCTTACCTACTTATGATATTGCTTATGTTTAGACGTTAAAACAATGTCTATAGCTCTTAAGAAACCCTCTGGGAATAATTCCTGTGTTTGAGCCACGCGGAATTGAAGTACAGGGAGTTTCATTCCAAGTCCTTGGAAAGCACTTAGCCATGATGAATCTGGGAGTATATTTAGTTTCTTTCTTGCTTGAGAAATACAGATTTCTCAGAATTCTCCTTAAAATTGTACCAAAAGCAAAAATAAACACTGAGGATTGGATTTGCTGAGATTTAAAATTGCTCAAATAACTTGGAGTCTAATCTTACACTTTTTTTGTGGAAGAAAACCAAGCAATCAAAGTAACAGTGAACTGCACAGTCCTTCTCTTTGCCAACACACGGCATTTTGCTGTAATCTGCAGGATACCTAGGCAGCAAAATGTAAAAAATTTTAAAAAATCTTATTACTTCCTTTTTGAAATTAATGATTTTAAAGAAATTGCATTTTTGAATTTGTTTTTGACATGGATAAAATAATGTTATGGTTAGAGCAATGAATTGTTTGAGCCCCCATTACATTTATCCTACAGTTTCCACACACGTTAAATGCCCACACATAACAGTCCCAGGACAGACAAGCAAGCTGGCAATGGTAACACAACATATTACAGAGCATTACATGAGACTGTAAATCCCAGTGGAAGTATCCAACAAAAAGAGTTGCATTTATCATCATGTAGAAGGGAATTCAAAACACTATGATGACAATACACCAGGGGAGCATGGTTTATAAAATCTCAGTGTATTTTAATCAAAGGTTTATTTAATCCTAGAGCTTCTCCTTCAGTCTCCTGTTTTTTCTCTCCTGTTATAATTTTGTATTAAACTAAACTGATGCACACAGAGTCCACCACAGAAGACAGGCAAGAATGAGAGCAAGAAGTGGGTATTAGTTGACAACATTTACCCTCAAGCCTTTTAAGAAAAGGGTACATATGGCACTTATTGATGTGTTTTACTGGGCATGGTGGTGATGGGCTGATGGTTGGAGTAGATGATCTTAGTGATTTTTTCCAACTTTAATAATTCTACGATTCTAGGCCCTTTAATTGTGTTCCTACACACTTCCTGAGAACTGACAGCATTTCCATTTGTTGGGAAGGAAGACAGGCTTCCAAAGCCTGATACATGAAGAAGATGGCATCTATCAACTTCTCTGATTTGTGTTTTCCCTCTTTGTTTACTGATGCCTCTAAAATGATCACTCTAATTACTGGCAGCAAAGTATTGCAGACAAAGTGAACACAAGATGTCACTCACATGCATTTTTCAACCCAAAACGATGTTGTGTCATCTAAGAACATGGTAGCAGTTCATACATAAACATTCCTGATCCCCCAACATTCCTTGCTTGTGCTCTCTGTGTCACTTCACCTTTGTGTCGTTGCATCTCTCCACATACTAGCTTTTTAATACTCAGAATTTTAGACCTTCATGCTACATACTTCCTTTGTTCTCCATGCTGTGGCATCTAAGCGTACACATCTCACACTGAAATTACTACAGCTGTACAGCTGGAAGGATGTACCAGCTGTAACATGACTACAATTCTACAACACGGCCATGCCCTTCTTGTTCAACTTGTATGTCATTTGTCTCCGGAAAGGAGCAAAGTGCAAAAGCACACAAGGTCCTGCAGACGTGCTTGTTTCTCAGCCTTGGAAAAAAGATGAAACAAAATACATGAGATGGTAGCAACACAAAGCAGCATTGCTTTCGTCGCTGCTTTCCAGAGCCTCGTCTTTCAAGATGCAGCCCCTGGTAAAGTGGCTCATGAAAGTTTGATGAATAGCATTTTGTTTAACACTGGCAACAGAGCAACAGCCCTGTTGAGCTTCAGTGCTCAAGCAAAATGTCACGACCCAAGAGGATCAGGGCCCTTGGCTGCAGGAGGTGGGCTCACAGGTGGCAGCAGGTCTACAACCTCCAGTATAGGATACATCACCCACAGGTGACTTGGTCACCAGAATATCACACTGCTGCAGTGATGAATGCTGTGCCTCCTGCCATGCTTGCCTGCTGTGCTATAAGGCTGTCTGAGGCAAGCTTGCAAATGCTGAGAGTTCCTAAGCATTTTCCATTAGCACACCTAAACCTTCATTCTCCTCCCCTGTTAGAATTGCTTAACATATACACATGCTGAAAAATTTCACAGTGTACCATTCTGTATCATTTTACTTCAGTATTTTATGTTTTCCTGCTTTTGTTTCCCTGTTCCCTTCCTATAAAAGAATATTCTCAGGAAACTGTGAGTGTGTAACTGAAAATATACACAATCCACATACAGAGACAGTACTGCAGTGACATGATTGAGTGGTTTAATATTTTAGCATGGCTAACAAATAGTAGTAGAGCATAAGATGAAGTAATTACCTTTTCTTGTTCTTCAGGTGCTGAAAATCCATACGCTATTTTTGCAGAGTACTGAATTCAGTATTTCTGGAAACAAAGAGAAAAAATAATTAAAAAAAACATTTATACTTGCCCCTGAGGATTTATTAGGCACTCATGAACTTTTTGCTGTACAGAAATTTATAAACTTCCTCTGTAGTAGAGGATGAAGCAATGAACAAATGTTTTTGGACAACAGATTTGCTTTTTGAAAGCCTGTGTACATTTTTTTTTAATCTCTATGCAGCATATCTCTGAATATGAAAACAAAAATAGCATGCAACTACCAAAGGCTACCCTTGCCAACCACTTAAAAAAAAAAAAAAGAGATATACAGGTAGCAAGCAAATACAGATGCACATATACGAGTATTTCTTTGCTATAACAGACTCCAATGTGATCTTGATTAACTACTGTTACACTTGAGGATTTATCATATATTTTAGATAGTTTAGATGGCTGTTGCACTTGAAAGATCTGGTTTGAAAAGAACATAAATAATAACTGTAAGGATTGCTGTATTTCAGCAGTTATATGATAAACTTCATCCCCTTATGTTTTCAGTATTTTCTTCTAAGTGTTGTGCTTCACCCTAAATGTAACATTAATTGATAAAAGCATGAAACGCATGGATCCAGGTCAGCCTCCTGTAGGCACTGGGTTTAGTGCAACTATTTACACATTAAACACTGCTCCTTCATAGCTGGGGTTACCACATATGAAACTTTGGTTTTGCCAGAGTCAAGCTGGATGGCATAGGACCCTGGGATGCCACCCAGTTCCATTTAAGCAATTAAAACATAAAAAATCCATGGAAGTGAAACAGCAATGACTTCTCCTGTCCTGTTTGTTTCCAAGAAAAGTTATATAATTTGGAAGAAGCATATTAAAATGGCAAGAAGGTCAACATTTGCAGAGTCCATATACAAAAGGATCCAGCGTTGAGTCTAGTTGTTCCCAAGGACTCATGAATAGCAGCTGGTCCCTGAGACTTTCCTTACTGGGACAGCTCTCCCCCCGCTCCTTCCTTTGCTGTTGTCCCTACACCACAGCCAGGTCAGCTCATAGCCTAAGAAATCTGTAGGCCAAAAAAGCAGCCCAAAGGCTCTGGTTTTAACACAGCTGACCCAGAATGGTCCTGCTTTAATCTTCAATGCCCCAAAGAGAATTGCTTTTCACCCCAGTACTACACATACTTTGAGAGACAGTCCTGTGGGAGCAGGAAAGAGAAGGAGCTCGTACTGCTGAGGCACCAGTCCCCAGTGCATAATTAATCTTATTTACGTACTAAAGGAGCAATCACTTGCTTTCAGTAACCCTGGAATTCAGACAAGTAAATTAAAACTTAAAACAAGGCCTGAGAGTCCAGCACACATGCCACTTTCTGAATGATTTCTCTATAATAGGCACGAATGGATGCTCTGGAAGAAAGAAAGAGACCTTTTCCAGGTCCATCTGTCAGCAAAACTGCCTCTGTAAGCAATAAACAGGTTTTGTGCCATCTAAGAAATTTACAGACAAACTCAGGGTAGGACTGGCTATTATTTCTCATTGTACAAATGAAAAACTCCCCAGATGTTAGCTGTTTGCAGCCTTGGATTTTGATCAAATATACACAGTTACAGTAAAAAAAAAAACACAAACACAACAGTTTCAGAAGTGTAGAGCAGACCAGGCAACACCTCGTGAGGGCATTCATATGCTTTACTTCGAGGAAAAGTCCCATTTGTTTGGACTATTCTGCTTGTATTTTATAGAAAAACTCCACCTTACTCTGAGAAGCTTTTGGAAAATAACCAAATTGATAGCAGCAGTATGGAGCAGAAATGGTGGTTTCCCTAGGCTGATAAAGTTAATGTTTGTTACCCATTACCTTGCAACAGCTTTTTAAATGAAATTAAGATGAGATCTTTGTTTCATTTATGAGACCCTGGATTTAACTTCTGCTTGGAGCATAAAGGGCTAGAGATAGCACAACTTATAGTGGTTTATGGCTCTACTGTGCCATTTTAAGGATGCAGTACATGCTCTCCTCCCAGCTTACCATTATTTTATCATAATGTGAGCGTACTGGCTGGTAAATCTTTCTTGGTTTCCCTCCCCAAATGCCAAATGTATAACCTTGAATTGGCCTCTGCCATATGCTATTTTTATGCAGATTTCAAATGTAATTTGGGGAATTCTTGCTCTTATTTTAATCACAGAAGGGAATAATATATGGATTTCAGCACAGCAAAGATTTTGCAAAATACTTGCTAGAGAGACAGCACTGACTAGCAGTAGGTGCACAGCAGGAACTACAGGAATTTAGTTAGCTAATGCCCTAAAACATAGAATAAATGTATTAAGGGAGGTGTAGCTGCATTTATGACTCCCTATTAAAGTTCACCGTCTCGCAGCACCTGTCCCCTACGCAACAGGAGATCGCTTTAGTTTTCTTCCACTGTGCTCCACACCACTTTGCTAACCTGATTCACCCTGAAACCCCCAGCACCGAGTGACGCATCCGCCCGCACAGGCCATGGGCGGTGTGTGCTCAGCCTCACTAGATGCCAAAAGAAGGGCAATTAATCTGCAAGCCAGCGCGCTGCTCAACCTCCGTGCCAAAACAGAAGCTGCTATTAGGGAGAGCAACGATAAACACTGTCTGTTCAGCTACAGCAACGGCTGGGAAGAGAATCCATCGAGAGGGGATGGCTCACCCTTGAGCTGCTGTATTGCTGCAAAGCCAAATGCCCAGGCAGCCATTAACTCTAACGGCACAGGGACCTGCAGAAAGCCACACCAAGGTTTAGACATCTGACAGGAGGCTGGGGAAGTAGTACCAAGCACCCCATTTCTGCCTCATTTCAAGTGCAAGAGCAAGCAGCCAGCATGGTGCTTTGGGAGATGGAAATCCCATGTGGAACAACACGGCATCAATCCATCAACATCTTGCATCAGTCCTATGAAACAAAATCAGAAACTTTCACCTATAGTGGCTTAATTAACACACAACCTACAGATCCTTCTAAATCCTGCACACTGCCATCCTCCATTACCAGGCTTTTTTGATGAAAGTGATTAAAGCTAACAATTATAATTCGTGTTAGAGAAGCCCCTAGAGGCAGTAGGTAGGCTCAGACTCCATTGTTTGCAGAACACAGTGCAAAGAAATCTCCCTCCTGGAGAGCTCATCCTCCGAGAAGACAAGGCAATCAAGGAACAGCAGAAAGAAAAAGCAGTTGTTCAAGGTCAAAGAGCCACTGGAGGAGCTGGAACAAAACCATCCCCTCAACTGTTCAGCCACAGCCCTGTTCATGCTGACTCTCCAGTACTAAGTCAACCAACTAATACATTTTATTTGTCAAGCGTCAAAAGCAGACCAAGTGATTCATAGCGTTCCAACATTCTGTGTTGGAAAAACTAACCATGACAGTAAAAAATAAAATCTAAGTGGATTTCACAAATGTAAGATGGTCAAAAGAGCTCCTTGCTTTGCTAAAATGCTAAGTCTATACAAAACAACATTTTCCGTCTCCCAGACTCTTTTCCCCCTGCAATATCCTCTTGGACCTAAGCAGAGATCAGCTGCAAAAAAACAGCCTGTACTGACTGCCTTTTTCTTGGTATATGCTCCATCTGAAATCATGCTTTTCAGTACAAGAGAGAGGCGTATCCAGCCCTTGGATGACAATGCACCTACACACTGAATCAAGAAAAGAGGAATTGTCTATACATCCCTAGAACATGACTATCCCACAATGTAACCAGATAAAAATTCACAGTGTGACAGAGGTGGACAAGTGCCTGCTTTGTGACAAACCAAAGCTATCACCTACTAATATGACTATGGGTACCATCTGATGGAGGACATCTCTGTGGTTTTCCACATATGGTTTTGACAGGCACACTTCAGAGATGTAGAAAATGTAGTCCCACTGGATGCTACAAGCTTAGATCATCCTGACCTAAGATGCAAGGGAGATGGAGCACCAGCTTTTGCCCATCTCTCAGCATGTACTCCCTTCTACCTTCCAAATAAATGTTCCCTATACTTTTTGTGCACATTACTGACAAATCGATCCTTCTTTATTCTTCCATCAATGCTTTCAACATATGATTGCTCAAGCAACCTTCCCCATCTTGCAATTTCTTAAGGAATGGTCAATCTCGATATGCATAATTATAATTGCAAATGGATCATTTTATCTTGTACTCTTCTGTTTTAATGGGATTATGTGCAGCCAAATCTCTAAGGTAACATTTAAAGTCAAAACCTACTATGTCATTCATGTGTGTTTTAGATACTTAAAAATATTAATATGCAACCAGTGATATTATCAAAGGTTAAGATTTCTAACTACCCAAGCCAGTTATGACACCATAAATCTGAAACAGTTTTCACTGATCACTAGAAAAATCTTTCAAAGACAGTAAAACTGGAATTCATCAGAACTTCTTGCCATACAATTACTCTGAAAGAGAGTGCTCTCGTTATGCTCTGTACTGTGAAAGTACAAAGTACTAGTGTGTAAAGTGAGAGATGCTTTTAGTCTTTGCAAACAACTTTAGTGCATAAAATATTAAAAGCAATGCTAAACTAATCTTTGGCAAGAATTACAAGCAATTTGGTGCAACCCGTATTATGAATTCCTTTGGTTTATCATTTAAAAAACATTAGAGTCTACCATTATAGTTGTGTATCACAGTGCTGTACATTACATTAACCTCTATAATTTTCCAGCGTGGTATATTGCAGTAACACAAATTAGACTATCTGGCAAAAAGGCTTAAAAAGATGCAATATTTAAAATCAGCAGTCAGGAAAGCTCTTTGCTCCTTCCTGCCAAAGACAGCAAGAGAGAATCCAGTCCTCCTTTCCTCAAAGCAAATGGTAAAATCCCATTAATTTCCACTGGAACTGACAGATCCAAAGCATCTGGGAAAGGATTCAGCCTAAATACATCACAGACATAACAGATGAATGATTTGGGGTAGAGGGGTCACCTGCTCTCATTTTAACACTTCTGTGTAACAGGAACAGAGCAGGTCATTTCTGAATGCTT